CCCTAGTCAATGTTTAGAATGCCAAAAACGTTCAGTTATTGTAAAAGATACATAGCAGGAAAAGGAGACACGAGCGGGCGGGCTGTTTACGAAATACGAACAATTTTAAGAAATATTCTAGACTTAGCGCTCGGCGGTTGAAAATAGGTTGACAAAGAAGACTAAGTAATGCTCCTTTTCACCATCAAACCCTGATTTTTAAGTGACCCCTATGAAAATAAAATTCATATGAAGTGCTACCATAGGGGTCATTTAGGGATTAGGGATTGATGGTGAAAACAGGCATGAGTATCTTTCGCCACTTCTTCTCAGTACCAGCCTGTATATTGGGCCGAAGAGGTGGTAGGGCAAGCTATATTTGGGACATGTATAAGTGACCTGGAAAGGAGCTACATACTAATAAATATTTTGATTTGATTTTGTTGAATCAGCAGGTCATTATCATCATCTCAGCCATAGGTCGTCCACTTCTGAACATAGGCCTACCCCAATGCTTTCCATGTTGCTCGGTTGGTAGTGGCCTGCGTCCAGCGCCTTCCTGCTACCTTTATGATGTCGTCGGTCCATCTTGTGGGTGGACATTCCACGCTGTCTTTTTCGGTACGTTGCCTCCACTCCAGAGCCTTGCTGCCCCATCGGCCGTCAGTTCTGCGTACTATGCCGACCGAAACCTTTTGGTCTACTGTGACTTCAAATTGACTTCATAGTTCTACATAGGTGAAGGTACATTGTATTGTGTAAACAATGTGTGTATCCAATAATGGCCTGCTTAACCCTTTGTCTCGTAACCATGTTCATACTGCACAATCAAGTTTACAATTTAGGTACGTGGACTGGATACCTTACATGTACTCGTATATGTATTCCCTTTGTCCGTACGAATCAATTACCCGTAATACACAAGCCTTTGTGGTCGGTCTATCGCGAACACGTGATTAATATTCGGTTGGCAGGAAATATACGTACGTACAATATATGTACTACAAATAAATGGACACTCGCAAGTACCAAATAATTTAGAATTTTGTAAGTTCTGGTTCTGGAGAAAAGAGCTCAGTCATCAAGTCATTTAGTATTTTATTGCTCTACTTTTTCACAATTCATTTCCTCCCAATGATGCTTTAGAATATTCTTCTCTCTCGCTTCTCTAGTATTACTTCATCATCATCATCATCATTTCAGCCACAGGACGTCTAGTGTCCACTGCTGAACATAGGCCTCCACCAATGTTTTCCATGTTGATCGATTGGTAGCGGCCTGCTTTCTGAAAGGTTCTGGAATGGAGGCCGCGTACCAGAAAACGCAGCGTATGACGTCCACCTACAAGGTGGACCGACGACATCATAAAGGTAGCAGGGAAGCGTTGGACGCAGGCCGCTACCTATAGTATTACTAATTGACGACAAAAGCCATGACTCCTTAAAACGCATGCTGACCATAGTGTACCTACCTATCTTTTCTATATATAATTATGTACTAGATTTCTGCCGTCTACTCTGCACTTAACAGAAGTACTTCTTTAGCTAACCTAGCTCCCCCTAATTATGTTCACATGGTAGGTACTTATAGTTTGTTGCGGTTTCAACAGTTATACTTGCCCGCCGCTGCAGCGTTAAGGTGTAGAAGCTGTATTCGGCTAAATTCAATTTTCTTTCCAGAACAATCAAGGATAATCCCACACGTGGATTGCATTAGGCGGTATTTACCCTATAGGAGGAGGATAGATCTGCTTGGCTGCTGTCGATTCGGTTAATGTCAGCGTTTCGCTTAACAACAACTGTGCGTGGTCTAAGTTGTAAAATGAAGCGTGTTTTTTGCGAAAATCTTTGGATGAAAACTTGGGATTTATGACTGTTATACCTTAAAAGCTACGCGATTAGGCAACTTCTGAACGTGCTTGCCCTTTAACTATATCTGTAACAGAAAAAAAACTTCTCAGCACCATCCGAAATGTTGTCCCGAAATGGTTGTAGGGCAATCTATATTGGACGCGTTTAAGTGCCATGAAAAGGGCTTAAATTATTATGGAATTTGCATTTAAATATGTCAACAGTATTGTAAACATAATGTAGGATTTACTTCTTTCATTAACTAGTTCTCTTATCAATTTCATTACAAGCATTTCGTAGAGCAAAGGCCGCTACTTTTTGCCAGATTGCAATAAAAATCATTTCTTAACCCCCAACTCTCACACTTCAACCCTCGACCCAAAGCAAATCGCGACCAATTTGCAGGGAAATCCCTTTTTTCCAGCACGAGCGGGACCGGATCGGGATTGGGAGGGAGTGGATAATACTCCTAATGTCAATTTGATGCCTGTGACGGGTAACAAAGGCTAACCAAGAGGGCGAAGCGTAGAAGCAGCCTTTTGTGATCCATTTTCCGGTTGTAGTCAAAACTCGATCTAATAACGATGGCACTACAATGTCTATTAGTACAAGGAGAAGTGAAAAAGTATTCTTTGTAAATATTCTTGTGACCTATCAATGATAGCTCTAAGGAAAACTGCAATCTGCAGATGTAAACCGTCCAATGTTTCTTAAATAAAATATAAACGAATCACGATGAAAACCCCAAACCTATTATCCCGCTGTGTAAAATAGTGACAATAATGAAAAGATACCAAGAATCTGTCAAGAGCTGATGGCCGCTGGGGCAGAAAAGTTCTCAAGTGGCGACCACGAGCCGGAAGACGTAGTGTGGGCCCACTAGGTGGACCGAAGCTCTGGTGAAGGTCGCGGGAGGTGCCTGGATGCGGGCGGCGCAGGACCGGTCGTTGTAGAAATCCTTGGGGGAGGCCTTTGTCCAGCAGTGGACGTCTTTCAGCTGAAACGAACGAACGAATGAATCAAGAATCCATTGTATTCTTCTATGCTGTAGCCGGTTCACTCACCGTGTGATGTGTTTTTGAAGAGCAAAACTTCTGTGACATTTGATGCCTATTTGAGCTTTGAAAGCTCCTTCAAGTTGAAAGCTATACGGCTCTTTGTGGACTAAATGAGTGAGTTATGGGTTGATGAAAACTTAAGTGCCTCTTTCCTGTGATACGGATTTTAAACACGCGTTCTGGTTTAATCCGCATGCGGGCTGCCTGCATATAAAAACTCATCCTTCTTCTTTTCGTGTCTACAACAAACCTACAGCCCAAAACTCCGCCACAAGAGTGAAACTCATTTATTTTTGTAAATAGGCTTCCAAAAAGTACTCTTCATCATACCATTATTTCATTGTTATTCCTATTATGCGGGCTACACGCACGCGGAATGCGGATTGATGCGGGCACGCAATACGAAATATTTTTCCTGCGTGCAACCCTGCTGGTTATTAAAGGTATTTATTTAAGGGTCGATTTTTCAATCGTCAGATATCTTTTATCTGAAAAATAACCTTTTTATATTGACAAATCTATACTGAAACGGTCAATGTGCCAAAGTTATTCTTCAGTTAAAAGTTATCCGACGATTGAAAAATCAGCGAAGTAACTTTTGTCGACGTAAAACAGGGTATACAAGGCGGACTTAATGCTACGTGGCAATCTCTTCCCGTCCAATTTTGGACAAAGTAGAGAATAAAGACTACGTTAGGTAAAATAAACTGGTATTTTGGTGAATATTATGTACTATTCAGTGAGAGTTAACAGTCCCGTTGCCAAACCTCCGTTCATTATATCGCAATCATATCAAATGTACACATCAACTAACTCTTAGAACATCTGGCAGTATTAATAAATATGTATGGATATGGTATGGATTGGCGTAAGCATTAGAATATGTTTCTCTGAACCAGTGAAATGATTAATCAATACTTAGTATTAGTGCCTTTTTCCTGTGATCCGGATTTTGGCACGCGTGCGGATTTGATCCACATGCGGTCTGTCCGAATTTCATTATTTTATTCATGCTACACGAACGCAGAACGAAAATACGAAATCTTTGTCCTGCGTGCAACCAGCAGCGTAATGTTACACGCACTTGGATCATATTCGCACATGTGCTGAAATCCACATTACAGGAAATACGCACTTAAAATAATACATTGTAACTATACTAAAATACACCTTCCATTGTCAGAAATATGGCGTTATTTTTTACACAACTGACCAAAGCAGTTGAATCCTGTAGCCCAACAGGCAGTGCTATTTTCAGTCGCCCGCGTCGGACCTCTACGGAGATTAATTGAGTCTGAGTTAGGATAATAATGACTGACGCGTGCACGAGGCTTTTTAGGTACTGGATTTATTATGGTATAGTGTATACTAATAATAATAAAACTTTTATTTCGGACATAATAATTCCTTTTAAAGGTGTTAGTAACAGGTAATCTTGATCTAGTAAATGGTAAAGACAAAATAATTGCTAACTTAGCCAGCAGCAAGCCATAAAGCTAGGCTATTGTTATTATTAACTCCAACAAATAACCACTTTTATTGATATTCTACCACTACCATGTCGTTGTAGATAATATCCACCATAACGTAGACTGACACCCATGGGTATCGATCCTGTTCAGTACATTAGTTATGCAGGCACCACGCGTTTGTGCTCACATGGTGTCGTGATCGGTAGATTGAATATTCTTTATTGCACACCATTTAAAATGTCACATATATAGAGAAGTAGCCTTTCTTAAAACTCAATATAGTTGACGTGGTGAATAAGAACATAATTTCCAACACAACAAAGTAATAGGTGGAGTTCTTTGGAACTCCTGCGAATGATATCTCAACTCTTAATGAAATAATGAAAATTTTAAGTCATCATGCGCTTAAATCAGTCAGTACCTGAGGTATGGGAGTGACACGGGAAGAGTGACATAGACAAATTATGACGTGACAGAGCATACAAATGTGAAGCATGTCTGAAGTCTCGCTGACGTTTGACGTATCATAAACACCATCCCGTGGCGCTCCCATACCTCAGATACTGACTGAGTAAGCAGTACCTTTAGTCTAATCTAAACCTTTGAACCGATTTTAAAACGTTCTCTTACCTTGTCCCCAGGTGGTCGTCATGGGCAGCAGCACCACTTCAGACAAAACCATCAACACCAGCACAGACTCCGCTGCCACCGCGCTCACCTCCATCACCGGGACCGACGACTCCATGGACGCGGAGCCCGAGCCACCCGAGCCGCCGCCCCAGCCGCCCAGCCTCATCGACGCTGAACCCGCCCCTACCAACCCCAACCCGCCCAGCACAGCCCCGCCTCACTACCACCGCGCCCAAAACAGCTGCGAAATCGACTCCCCCAAATACACCAAACCACAATCCGCAACTGAAACCCTAGACTCTCCCAGACCAGGTCCAGCACGATTCATATTCGATGTACCCCTACCCGATCCTAGAAAGGCTGAGAAACCACGAAATAAAACCCAAGTACTTAATAGCGCTCCGTCTACGTCTATCCAGATTCCATACGACCCTAAAACTGAAACGCCGAAGAGTCCGAAGGCAATCCAGGCAAAGTACGAGACCCATTTCAAATTTGAACCAGAGCCGGTGAAGAGAAGAGGCAGCGAGCCTCGGATGAAGAATAAGCAGAAGATGGATAAGCAGGAATATTATAAGGATGAGGTGGCGAAGCTGAGGAGGCAGCTGGAAGGGACTGAGGTGTTCACAACCACGAGGCGGAGATCTTCTGCGCACCAGCATTCGGTTCCTCCACCGTCTTCGAGAAGACAATCTACAGGTAATTTAAGATTAAGTACTCACTAATCTCATTTACCTACTAGATTTATTTCGAGAAAGAAAAAGGTCATGCATGTCAAATCCACATCGATTTGAATTCTTCGTAGTGATCGATATTGCTGTTAGAATTCTTAATACTGTTGTTATCTATCTACGAGTAATTTGGTGACTTAGTGAAGCAAGATAATTAGTAAATTGAAACAGCTGCTACAAATATGTAATTGTCTGGACTAGAGACTGATTCACTATGGAAAGTTGTAAAAGTATGAGGCTGCTTCACCATCCTGGTTTACCAAAGAATCAGCGACATTTTGCTGAGCCCATGTATCCACATCTTTTGTAAGCTTACATAGTAGTACGGTACTATTCCAACTTCTGAAACTCCTTTCTATCAATTTCTCACCAGCGGCCCAAGTCCACGTGACCGCCAATCCACTGGACTCAGCCGCCACCACCATCCCAGCTGGCCGGACTACCATCGTGGTCCAGCAGCCATCTCTCTCGCTGGACTACGGAGGCTGTTCCACCATCCTGGTCCGAGACGAGGATGGAAGACGGAAGAGCCGGGTCTGCAGCGACCACATCCAGCAGTTACTGGATGTCACCAGCCAGTTCACCTCGGAAGACCTGCATGACTTCGATAAGAGGTATGTACACTACTTCTTAAGGTCATAGCACACTTGTCAACCCGGAAAAAGATAAACACCGTATTGCCTTTCGTAACACAAATTGGTAGAACGATGCAATGCCGACACCGCTGGGCTATTGGCGCCTCAAAATTAATTGAGAAATTGGTAAATCTAAAATATTCATATTATTCATGGGAAAACAACAGTATAAATACAACATTATTATTCTAATAGAATTATTTTTAATATCTTTCCTCCAATACCTATAAACTCCAGAAAAATTGTAATGGCCTTTCAAGTAACAACGAATTGAGATACAATCAATTGTTACCGCGGTCTCATGCGACCAACTAGAGTTCCACGAGGTACGGGACCATTCCCACCTCTCGTTCCCACCCTTGCAACTCCTGTATAGCCAGGATCTACAGCTTGACCGCCAATAAAAACCCAACCAGTGAAGGTCAAGTTTAACTTTGTAAACTGTCTTTGGACCCGCAACGAAATTAATCAGAAGAACAGGAGGTATTCGAAGTTAAGGTTTGACTTCTCTCCAGTGCAAAGTGGATGACAGTAGGACATTATGAAAGACTATAGCGGCCGCCCGCGACATCGTACGCATGGATCCCGTTTTACCCCCTTAGGAGTTGAATTTTGCAAAATCCTGTCTAAGTAAGCACCTACGTTCTAAAAGAAACCCCCATGCAAAATTTGAGACTCCTAGCACTTGTAGCTTTTGAGATTTCGTGATGAGTGAGTGAGAGAGTGAGTCAGTGACCTTTTGCATAGATCACATAAAATAATATTCTTTTTAGCGAGGAAAATAATTTCAGACACAGTTATTAGTCTTTCTGTTTACTTTCATAGCTGAAACGAAGCTAATTACAAACGTAATTATGTGGCCGTGTTTATTCTCAGTGCACAGTCTTTGTTGTTTGATTAAGAAATATGGCGATCGAGGCTGACGTCTCGGGATGAGAATTAATTACTCCATACTAATAATAAACGCGAAAGTAACTGTCTGTCTGTCACGCCTGAACCGCTGAAGCCATTTTCATAAAGGTTACAGTCAAAACTCATAATTTATAATCGGTCGAACCCACTTTTGACTGATTTTTGCAGTCAAGTGTTTTTGGGGATTTTCTCAAGATAGCCTGAAACGGAGGAAAATTTCAGCTTCTTTTTGTGATAATAATATCTCACGTTGAAGACAATTATCCATGTCTTTGCTTATGTAAATTAAGTCTTTTTGATCGAGAGCACAATGTGTGATAAAACATTTCTATGCCAGTGGAAACCAGTTACCTACAAATCCCATATAAACACAAACGCTTTATCAAAGTGTCGCCAATTGAAACTGAAATAACATTTTACATCCAGTTACAAAGAAAATCGCAAAATAACTTACAAAATGGAATTCTGTTATTGGAAAAATAACTTGAAGGAAAAATTCATTCAGCATTCATCTCCTTTTCGATTTCGATTCTAACAACTGCAGTTATAGCCTGACCAGGAACATAAAAACCCTCGCCATGTTGCGGAAAACTAATGGTACTAATTTCTTTTAATGGCAACAGTAACTGAAAACTTCATTGACATGTCACCTTGCATGTCAGTCTATTGCTGTCAAAGTGTAAACAAACTTTATTTTAAATGTACGCAACTGATTTTGTGAATTAAATTGCTAAAATCTTTTTATAGTCGTGATAGAAAAGTGGTTCACAATGTGTTAAAGTATTTGACGAAGAGAAATACTAAGGGTTCGGCAATATTTTCATTGAATAATGTTTCCGACAAAGGTTGTCAAATTGACTGACATGTGTATCGTATAGTACAGTCCACTATGAAAATTAGCTGTGATTTGTTTCAACTACCTATTTTAAAATTTTTTGTCACTTTCTAAGTGTTGAATTTTATGGAATTGGGAAAGAAGTACCGAGCCTGAAGCGTTCATGAGCAGACATTGCAGTTGAATATTCAAGTTCTGAATTTGATTATTGATGAATAATAAAATAAATCTACTACACACACCGGCAGATTTAGAGGAACGGAAAAAAAAGCATCAATATCATCATTATTTTAGGAAAAAAATGCCTAATTATGACATTATTTTTTAATTTAATTCTAAATATGAAAAAAATAATTGCCAACAGTATATTTTTTTAATTATTTTGTTTAAATTACCCCATCAACAGTTTCGTTGAGTGTTTTGAATTGAATGAAGCTTTTGCTAATTTGGATTTCTTTTACGTGAAAGATGTTTTTTTCTGAGAATTTTGTTGTGTAAGCATTCAGTTACTTATAAGGGTTTATTATGCCCAGCTTAGCACCGTCAGAAATCATTAAGGCAGATGAAATGAGAAGTAACGGCCATGCATACAAATCGGCTGCCGTAAGACGTCGTTGATCAGTATCGACCACCCATGGCAGTAACCAACGGTACAGATTGATCATTTCTGTCGTTAGGAGGAGGGTTCAAGTCAGAAAAAGGCGTACTTCGCGACGGGATGACCGTTTTTTACAACTTCGAGTTTTCAGAAAGTCGCGGTTACCTGCTGTTCAAGCCAGAAATAACCTTAAAGACACTCGAGGAGTAAGAGTGACTGAGCCCACAGTTCACAGGAGATTTACTGAAGTTGGTATAGGGTCGTGCATACCCGAGAAAGCTCCAACTTGTGACACAGCACCGAAAAAACATATTGAACTTTTCACGTGAATATCGTGATTGGGTCTTGAACGACTGGAGGCATGATCTCTTCACTTATGAGTGCAGAGTTCTCTTAAACCAGATCGATGGAAGATAGCGAATATGGAGACACAAAGAGAACGTAACATTTAGTCTTAATTTTGAAAATATCGTGGTTTATGGAGGTAGCTTAATTCTGGTGTGGGGAAGGATTTTTTTGGGAGCTCGCACGGAGTTAGTGGTGGGTGATGGAGGAAATACGACTTCTGAATGGTACACTAGGAACATTTTAGAAGAACATGATGTGCCATTTACTCCATTTATTGTGGACTCCTTTAGTTTAATTCACGATAATGTTCGTTTTCACAGTGCTCGCTCAGTACAGGCACATCTAAACCATTTGGATATACCCATGATGCAGTGGCTGGCAAGATCCCTAGACAAGAATCCTATAGAGCATGTCTTGGACTTTCTTAAAAGATGTGTTAAACTCAGAATACCACCGGTGGTGTTGAGAAACGCGTTACTAGAGGAATGGCAGACATTGCCCCAAAATACCCTTCATATCATTAACTGCAGCATGCTCAGATGAATGGAAACCATCATCAGAGCAAGAGGGGGAAATACCCATCATTAATTCATTCATTTGGATAGTGATAAGCTACCCTAATTTTTAATCTGGCCACAATTTCTAATTTTTGTTCAAAACTGAAAAATTGAAATTTCGTTTCGATGATTTTTTATTAAATAAAAACGACTAAATATTTAAAAAATATATGTTATTTTATTTTATTTTAATTATCTCTTTATTTTGTATAATAAATATTTCATAGATCAGTAGTAATTTTCCTTATTTTCATTCTTTTTTTTGCGTTCCGCTAAATCTGCCGGTGTGTGTAGCTCGATTGATGGTTTCATTTAATTTATTTAAACCAGGTTACCTATATAATCTTTATTCGTTAATTTANCTCGATTGATGGTTTCATTTAATTTATTTAAACCAGGTCCTATAATAATATGTTTTCGTTAATTCATGAAAATATTAAATTAACCCGTAATCCTGAATCCTGATACATAAAGTTAGCCTATTAATTTAACACGGGTACGACTATACTCAGTGTTGCACTATCAAATGCAATTGACGCGCCACTATGCCAGGGTTTTTATGTTCCTGGTCAGGCTTTAATTGATATTGCCAATTTCGTGGTTTTAGTTGAATAAAATATTTAACTAAAAGCATAACCTTCTTTCTGGTGCAGTCAGTTAAAAAGAAAGAAGGAGATTTAAAAGGAACTGTGTGTTTAAGTATTTTTTCCCATTATTTTAGAGCCATTAGAGACTTAGGCATGGCTCTAAAATAATGGGAAGAAATTATAACTTTTAAACGATTCATTTAGAAAGTTTGTTATTTATCTTGGTAGAATTATCACAGCCTTCTAAACATTATTATCATTATAATTTGACGCTAAATATCAAAGCATGTCTGCGACTCTCCTATTCCGAGTTTTAATTTAAGGCAACGAAAGTAGACAAAGAAGGGTTATTTCCATTAGCAAATTATCACAATAAATTTTTTGAGGACAGATAATAATTAAATGTTTGTACTAATACTAGAACGTTCTATCTATCTATGAGAGCGTCAAAAAATTCTATTATGATTTTAGTTCTTAAAAGCAACCGCTAAAGGCGCTGTACAATCGGTCATACATTCAATGTAATTTTTTACGCAGTCGTGAGCGAGAACACCTAACGTAAACTCATGGTAAGCACACTGTACTAATACTAGAACGTATTCTATCAATGGTGATAAGTACAGATGTAGAGTACTTAAAGGATCAAATCTCAGACCCTCTGGGTAGACTCTACCAGTAGCTAGACCACTGGAGACTAGAGTGAACCCACTGGTTTGTTCTCCATTACCGTTTTAATAAAAAATCTCGCCGCCGGTGAGAATGAGCGAGCAAAAAGAAATAAATGTCCTTTTAAAAGGCAATTTGCGCTTTGTCCCGTCTCGCGCCTTTTGCGGGACGGCGTAATTTGTTACACATTTATAGCGAGTTTCACTTTATTTTCGTCTTTTTTATTGGGTTAAACTGTAACACGGACCTAGTTTAGCTCTCATTGTTCTATTGTAAGAACAATTGTTTAATTGAACGATTTAAAGACTCGCCGTCTTATTTAATAGGTTGTTAGCAAAAATCTTACATGTGTAGGTACTATTAACTACACGCTTACGCGTCTTTCCGTTCTATACATGGCCAGAACGCACCCATAGGAAACTGCTCGTGTATATTTTGGAGTGCTCCTTTGTAAATCTGTTCCTACAAACTATACACGAATTTTGCGTACTGGCTGTGTATAGTTCGCATTGTGGATGCTTGCGGCTTCGATCCAAACTATACTACACTACTTACACTTGACATAAATAATAATATTGATTTTGATGTAGTACCTAAAATATGGAATTCTATTTAAAGTGAAAAATGTATCCCATCAAAAACAATACTTGTCAAAAAAACCAAGTCTCGCAACTCAGTTGTTCTACGGTAAAAAGTTGTGAGATCCATGTAATACCAAGTCCAGGCCAGGAAATCTTTAACGTTTTACATAAATATATTGACTTTGCCATCGCACTAAATAATTTAATTTACACGTGTTTTCATGCGATGGCCAAGTCAATATATTGCGAGACTTGGTTTTTTTGACAAGTATTGTTTTTGATGGGATCTCATTTCTTTTTGTATTTTGTAGACAGCAGTTATGTATCTAGAAAACTGGACCGAAATTGAAAAATTTTACTCGACTTGGCGGTTGCACTACCGTGCCCCCAAATATCATTTCTTTTTGTATTTTGTAGACAGCAGTTATGTATCTATTTTTAAGATAGTCTATTTCTAGTGAGTTAAGAGAAGATTATTTTTTAAACGTGTGTGTAACACACTATTTGTCGTGCTTCCTTTACTAATTTTAATAAAACAATAAATTTATTATGTTCATTTATTTTTTACATTTATTTTATTTTATTACTACCTACTTATATTTATTTTAAACTTGTATGCACATAAAACAGTGTACATAAGGCGGACTTAATGCCTTTCGGCATTTTTAACTAAAAACCCTCTATCAAAATAACTGCAAGTGCCGAAAGATGATTCAGTGTTTAAAGAAGATACGCGGATACTTAGATTAATAAAACCTAGATGGATAGTCTTCATACAAACGCTTCGTCAAGAGTGAGGCAAAAATCTTATGTCATT